ACGGCGGCAACACTGCGGGTTGCGATCCGTTGCCGGACACGGAAAAAAGACAAAAAGACAAAAAAAAAATAAAAAAATAAAAATAAAGCCACTAAGAATATTCTCATACCAGTTTTTTTTGTTGTTGTTTGTGTGCTTGTTTTCTTTTTTAAGTTTTATTAATATTATTTTTTTACATTATATGATGTTGTAGAGCAGTTGGGAGCAGGAGGGAGAGGGGAAAGAGGAAGGAAATGGGATGGAAGAAGGAAGAAGGAGGAGGAGTGGGATTGAGGCCTGTGGCACCCCCCACATTCCCACAGGGGAGACCGGTGGGCTTCCAGAGATGGCTTGGTTATTGCCAGGCTGGGTGCAGATGACATACCAGTTTTTTTGAGGACAAATGTTTTCATTTCTCTTGAATAAATACCTAGGATGGAATTGCGGGGTCATAGAATAGATATAAACTTAACTTTATAAGAAATTGCCAAACAGTTCTCTACAGTGATGGTAGCAATGAGATATTTTTTAAATAAAGGTGGGAGTAAGGGTAGCATTTGAGGTAGTCTAGCACAGTTAAAGAAATACTTGTACTTTGGAGTCATATTGACTTGGGGTCTCATCTGGGTTCTGGCGTTTATAATTTGTGTAACCTTGGGTAAGTTATTTAATAACTCTGAGACTTGGTCTTACCTGTAAAAAAGGAGTGATAATGAGTTTATATAAATACTAGTATTCTACCTAGTGTCATACCAAGGTGGAGACAGTAGTAAAAGCTGTAAGGGGGTGCATAGTCTGTAAGGAATTTAAAAACAGTGGTAAAACCAACTAAAAGTCTATTGGCTTTTATCGTCATTGTGCACCTACAATTCTAAGCAGTGTCAATGATAAATTACTTCTTCCTGCCTCTTCCTCCTCCTGTACACCATGCTACCTAGCAAAATCTGGAAACTTATAACAAACAGTAATTATAATCAGTATTTAATAAAGTTAAGTTGGAACTGAAGGTTAGGTTGTAATTTGGAACTTAAGGGAGCTTTGGGAGCGTTTTTGCAGGTTCTTTCCCCGTACACTTCCTGTTTCCCTCAGTTCCCTGTGTGTGCATGGCTCACCTTAAGTAAAAAGGTTTCCATCTCTAACAGTCCCTCCAATTCATTAAAAGTTTTTTTTCTCTCCTTTTTTACCAATTGTTTAACTCTGATCTGTAGTGAGCATATTTTCTTCCATTGTATTCTTCAACATGATGATAGATTACGTATCTATAGCCAATTCAGCCTTATTTATGGAAGCCAAAATGACTCCTCGTAAATGCTCTGTTCCTTGTAAGGCAAGTTCCCAAATGTTGTTCTAACTTGTAAGTCCCTTTATTAATATATTTTTTTACAATAATTACTTTGTATTTTTGTAGAATTTGGTCTGAACCTCCTTTCTATACTTTCTCCAACTTATCTGCCTCTGAGCTATTTTTTACCACGTAAAAATGAATCGTAACTATTATATTTGTCCACTGTGGCCCCTATCTTTGGTACTTTGTATACTAATTGTGTACATGGTATTTGAGGACAAATACCATGGACAAATACAGTCATTCTGGAAATATTAGTGGATTTCTCAGATAGTACTTGAGAGCCTGAGCTCTTGAGTTAAAATCCAGCATCCATCCCTGTACCGGCCAGCCACCAAAAAAAAAAAGAAAAAAGAAAAATTCTGCATCTTGTCACTATTAGCTGTTCCACCTTAGGCAAGTTACCTAAACTCTCTGAGCATTGTTTTTCTTATTTGTGAAATGAGTAATAATAATACCTGTATCTTAAATGAGATAATGGATGTAGAGTGCTATATTAGTTTCCCATTGCTGCAATAACAAATTACCGCAAACTTAGTGGCTTAAAACAACACAAATGTATTATCTTACAGTTCTGTAGATCAGAAGTCTGATCCACATCAGACTGAAATCAAGATGAAAAAAAAAACCCTGAAATCTCACCACGCTGAAATCAAGCTGTTGGTAGGGCTATGTTCCTCTGAAGGCTGTAGAGAATTTACTTCCTTACTATTCCCAGCTTCTAGAGGCTGTTGCATTTCTTGGGTCCTGGCCCCCTTTTTCCATCTTCAAAACTCCTTTCACATCTTCATCTCTCTAGTTCTCTGCATCCGGAAAGGTTCTCTAATTTTAAGGATTCATGTGATTAGATTGGGCCCACCTGGATAACCTAGGATAATTTCTCCATCTCAAGGTCCTTAACTTTAATCACATCTGCGAAGTCCCTTTTGCCATCTAAAATAACTTATTTACAGGTTTCAGAGGATTAGGACACAGACATCTGTAGAGGCCATTATTCTGCCTGCCACAAGTACCCCGCTTAGCACTTTGCCTACCTCTTTGTAAGCCCTCAGTAAGTGGCACTCTTTCAAGGCCCTTGGTACTCTGGGAAATTCCAAGCTGAAGCTGTGACCCTAGACACAAGTAATTTAAAGCCTGGTGGGAAAATGAGAGGACTAGGAACAGAAATGATTCTGACCCAGAAAGAGTGACCAGAGACATGTGGGAGGTTTCATTCAAGTGCCCAGGTCAGCCGTGACCTGGCAGGTTTTAACAGTGTGTCCAGTAGATATAAAAGTAGAGAACCTAGGAAGAAATGAGTTTCAACTCAGATGAGAATCTTTACAGGACTAGGGATAAGAGGGAAGGAGAAGGTGGGGAAAAGCATTTTCTGACTAGATAGATGGAAGATTACAGTTGTTCATATTTCTCAGTTCTTCCCACTAGTCCCTCTGGGTTCATTTGTTCATTTAGGCAATAGATACATGCCAGGCACTGTAGCTGGCCTTGGGGATGCAATGAATGGAATCCACAAAGCATTCTTTCTCAGGGCTCAGTCTGGTGGAAGAAAACAACCACGTCAACACTGCCATAATGCAGTGTGACAGTAGGAGCCCACAGGAAGGGTATGCCTCCCTCCCGAATTTATAGGATGGGGAAGGCATCTTGAAGGAAGTACCTGTCAACTGAGACCTGAAGAATGAGTTGGAGTTTATTAGTTAGGATGCTTTGGGCCACAAGTTACAGCCCAACTCAAATTGCCTTAAACAATAATGAACTAATTGGCTCACTTAACTGGAAGTACAGGAGTAGGGTAGGTATCAGGGTTGGTTACTGTGGTCACTCTGGCTCCATTTTTCTGTGATATCCTTGGCAGGGCTCTCCTCTGTGTGTTGATTTCACCCTTGGGCTAGCTTCCCTCATGGTGGCAAAATATGTGTAGCAATTCCAGGTGTCACATCACTATCCAGAGGAAGAAAGACATCTCTTCCATACACTCTCTCCTAAGAATGAGAAAACTCTTTTTCCAGAAGCTCCTAGCAATTGTTCCCCCTTGCATCTGATTGGGGTCACAGGCTCATTTATGAGCCAATCCCTGTGGCCAAGTGAATGCCGTGTCCTTTAGGTTTAGGCCTAAATTCCTGAACCTATCACTGTGGCAAGGGCAATGGATTTATGCTTCCTGAAACACATGGTCTGATTTGCGGAGATAACTGAGTGTAAATCAAAGTGCTGTTAGGAATGAGGGAGGGTGCAGGAACAGAAAAAACAATACGTAGGAATGCCCGTGATTTATTCTCTTATCTTCATTTGTGACTTATTTTGCTCCTTCATACCTTCTGCTTATTCATGGATTCTGTGTCCTCATAACTATAGTTTTGCCATGATATCTCTGTGCATGCTTTCAGCTTCAGTATATACTGTTAAACGCCTCAATCTCTCCCTGTTTCTCAATTCATATCCCCAAGATTGAGACTCTGGTCCAATTTGCCTTACTGTACCAGGCACTACCTACTTGAAGTAAGCTCCAGAAGACCAGGACTTTGTTTTGTATACTGTTGTACCTACCCCCAGCATCTGAACAGTACCTGGCATGCAGTAGGTACAAGAATACTTGAAAAAATATGTGGAAAAGTAGAATTAAAAGATAATATGAATCTTTCCATGAACTTTTTAAAGTACCCTCATATGTACTAAATGAATAAAAGATTAGCCTTCTAGTTAATTGGCTGCCCTTGAATCAGATGCTCTCTGGGCACATTTTCCGTGGCTGTGGGGATGTTCCTTGAAGGGACTGTTGACATATCCCTTCTAGTGGTTAGGAGCAGAAAGTTGTTTGGATCTCACTTCTACTATTTACTAGTGTGTGAACTTCAGTTTACTTTTCTGAAAATGGGATCAATGAAACCAGCCCTTTATGGTTCAGAGGTACCCCATATCGAATCAAACTGTGAATATGTAAGTACTTTTTATGTTGTAAGATGCCAGTCAGTTTAAGTCATTGCTAGCCACTCACATGCATCTGGAAAACATTGAAAATTGAAATACTGGTTTACCTGCTCAGTTTCACTTCTAGGTGGTAAGTTCCCCAGAAGAACCTCTAATCAGCTCTCTTCTTGTGCCTTTCCATTTGCTCCCCCAGGGTCACTCAGGATGTGTCAACTGTCTGGAGTGGAATGAGAAAGGAGAGTAAGTATGAGAAAGCACATGGTGCTGGAGAAGGGAGTTTCTTCCTCTGAGAAGATCTAAGGAAAAGAGCAGACACAAGACCACTGCTGTCTGCTGTTCTTAATTATCAGCACACAGTTAAACAATTAATCCCAGATAGATGGAAGGTTGGATGATTATCCAACCTGGTTTTTTTTAATAAGGTAATGTGTCCCAGGAATAATGGGAAATTCTCAGGACAAAATAGAAGAGAATCAACTTATGTTTATAAGATAACCTTAAATTTGATAACATCTACTGTTCTTCAGGTTCTGTATGGCCTAACTTCTTATAAACTGGGAACATGGGAGGGGGGAAGGTGGCCTGGGAGCTTGAGAAGTCAGAATCCCTCACTGTGCTTATAGCTTGCTGGCCTCTGGTTCTGACGACCAACACACGATTGTGTGGGACCCATTGCACCACAAGAAGCTGCTCTCCATGCACACGGGACACACTGCAAATATCTTCTCTGTCAAGGTTAGCAACTGAAAGGGGTGACTGGGCTGAGGGCATGGTCATGTTGGCATGTGTGTGTCCCATGGACCCCCTGGGATCACAGACACCCTTGTGCTCTGAGCATCTGGTGGTGATTCTCTTTTTCCATGCTCTTCCTCCAAGTCTAGATGGATTTATATTTGTGTGAGTGGTAATGGTGGGGGGTGGTTATGAGCATGAATTTAGAAAGCAGGCAGACCTGGATCTGACTTCGTTATCTGCCTCTTAGAAGTTTTGTGAACTAAGCAAATCAGCTGACCTCTCTGAGCCTGTTTACTCATCTGTATTTTTTTTTTTTTTTTTTTTTTTTTTT